ATTTTGAGGAATCTTAAGGAATTCTAAGGACTTTTCAGGATCTTAAAGGAATTTTAAGGAATTTTGAGGAATCTTAAGGAATTCTAAGGAATTTTCAGGATTTTAAAGGAATTTTAAGGAATTTTGAGGAATCTTAAGGAATTCTAAGGATTTTTCCGGATTTTAAAGGGATTTTTAGGGATTTTAGGGATTTTTAAAGGAATTTTAAGGAATTTTAAAATTAAATATCATTGAATCACATTGTACAATCTGCACGCCTTGGAAACAATTTTCTCAGAGAAACTGGGAGCTCCCGCTGGGAGCTTCTCTCAGATGTCAATTATTCCTGTGTTAGGCTGACTTCTATTCAGAGGACCTGCAGCAGTTCTACTACCAACCACTACCGACCGTACACGTTGACATGTACCTAATCGCTGCCAGATACTTCATGACACTCCCATTTGTTTGCTCTATCACTTGATTGAATCCTTTGCCATGAGTTCGCTTTGGACTCTGCTTCTGATGTGGCTTACAGGATGTGAGCTTTACAGATCCTCTGAACCAGCTGAAGGGGAAGGCGCCAGCATATATGGACCAAGCTCTTGGATTGGCGTCCGCATGCTATGAGATGATGATGCTATCAGATGATGATGATGATGATGATGATGATGATGATGATGATGCTATGACATGATGGTGCTATGAGATGATGCTATGAGTTCGTGGTTTAGAATCATTCCTTGAGCTCTGTTTTCGTTTCGCAAACCTCTACTAGTCTAGAGTCTTTCTGCCATGTTCTTGCAGTTTAGTCAAATTACATCCTGGCCAGGCGAGTTACAGAGCAAACGTTGAAATGCTGTCGGGGAATTCTTTAATTGGGACATGTCCTCAGTGATTCTGCACACCAGATTAGTCAGGCAATGTCAGGCAAATCAGAGAACATTTCCGACTGAATTCAATCTTATCCAGCCCAGGAACATCCTTTTCACCGATGCCTTCATTGATCTTCACAGTGTAGAGGAGGCAGAAAGAAGATCTCCAATCCAGCAAGTCCACCGACCGTGCATGTTATTGAAAGCCAGGGAAAGACGTTCGAAATTAATCGAAACAAGTAATATATCTCTTCTTGGTCCTTTTTTGCTTGACTGCGTGTTTCGGTTTGTCAACTGAAGCTCCATCAAAGCCTAGTCCCTGGACTTGTTCAGTGGAGCAAGGAGACATGTTTGACACGCCTTCCTGCCTTAGCACTGCTGTCGGATTCCTTGGATTAATCATCTTTCTCTGATGACAAGTTGCTTTTGCAGGTCCCCGGAGAAGCAACACAACTGAGGACAAGGTGGACACTAGGCAGGGGTTGTACTCTTTTCTTGCACTGCAAAGGACATTGTAATCATTGTACATAGTCTTGAAACTCTTGACTTGTGGAGTTAATTCCAACTATATGTGTCTTTCAACATATGCTGTTGAGTACTGTTGATATACAGAACAGCATACAGCCGGATGTGGCACCAGGATTCGCTTTTAAGCTCCTGCCGTGGAAACCAAGAGCAATCTTCAGCGGTGTCTACCTCTCAGACTTCGTCAAAAAAAAATGTCCAAAACAGAACACACATTTAACACATTTAACACACCATTCTGAATCTCTTCGGTTTGACGAACCTTCCCAATCTTTCGGGTTTTTCTGACGTGCCTGAGGTCTCAGAGTACACCATTGATCCCGAAAATGCAAAGGCGTCCGGCCAAACCATGAGAACCGCAGATGACTTGCTGCTGTTTAGGTTACCTTTCTGCCCGCACAGACCGATGACACTAGTCCTCTGAAGGGAAAGCTAGCCTTCAGCCAGCTGCACCAAATTACAAATATTGATTTATATTAATTTATATTGATCTAATCGTTTATATCAACTAGATTCCTGACTTATGTCGAATAATTAATTGGATTGAATCAATGAGTCATAATGAGTCAATGAGCGGAACAAATGGGAAATGGGAGCTTCATGGAGCTTGGATGCTCCAGGTGCTTGCGCAGCGGGACTACTGGGACACATTGAGCCTGGAAAAAGGAGGCTCATATGTCCGCGCCTCAAGGGCCTTCAACTTCAAAGTCTTATGACACTCTTTTGTTCATTTTTGTTCATTAAGACTTCAACATCTTCACACTGCAGCTATTCTGCAGCCTTTGTCTTTGGAGAAGGTTGAGTCGAGAGTGTCTCAACTCTTATAGCCAGGTTTGAGCTGGTTTAACGGTAACAGCGTTGCACATGTTTGCAGATCGGGTTTGTACCCGGACTGGCGCATTTGTAGATTACTGGCATGCAGGACTGTTCTTGGGAGTCACTTGACTCTTACAGCAGCTTGGAAATCATAAGACACGTTTTCAAGGTCCACACTGTCCACACTGACGTTTTCCTGTAAATGTGACACCTCTGTGCGGTGGACAACCCCCATGCTGGCAAACATGAATGACAGTGAATTTAGATGTATAGAGGCATAAGAAAGTTTTGAACCTTGACGCCCGAAGCAAGCTCATAGCAAGCAGTTGGACATAGTCTATAGAGGACCGTAACGTATGATGTCCCGAATCGCACTTCTGCTGCGCCACGTTCTTGCGAAGTTGGCATTTCCGCCAGAGAACTTCTTGCCTGTTGAGGTGCCTGAAGTACCTCTTAGTGGGCTACAGGACACCAAGCCGCAAGCCCCGCAAGCTTTGAACACAGCATTGTCTTGAATTTTTAAACAAAAGTTATGTTTTGCACAGCTTTGAAACAGTCTCAGTATGTCTGAGTGCTCGAAGTCCAGAGGATTTGGTGTCTCAGCTGCTGCCAGCTCCACTGAAACCCCTAGAGGCGACTGTCGCAGATTCAAAGCCATTTTTCTTTATCAGTTTTGGATAGTTTTGGCATGTTTTGGCGTCTACTTTTGCAGCAAAACCAATCTGTCTTCATGCTGCTTTGACACAGGATGACTTGCATGGCCTTGGCACCTTTCTTTAGTTCATCATGGATAAATACATTGAAAACATTTGAAAACTGATGAATGATTTTTACATGTGGAAAACATATGGGTATGTCTGAAAATGGGTTATACCTCCAATGAAATAGCCATTTAAAAACGGGATAATGATCAGCAAAACCATTGGGTTTTTTGGGGTACATATTCTTCCGACACCGTGCGGAGTTGCGTTGGTTGGACAAGGCCAGAGAGCCCAGCGCGGCTGAGGACCGCAGAAATGGCTGAGAGCTGCCGGTGAAACATGAAACAACGTATTAGATTATCTTAATATCATATTACAGTATAGTAATGTATAGTATATGATACTTATATTATACTTATAGTGTCTTATACCAGTAGTACAGAATGAAAAAAGAGAGAACTATATGATTCAATACTGATATAATTTTTAAATCATTTGAATCATTTGTGCCTGATTGTAACAGTCATTTAGAGTGTTTTGATGTTCACCGACTGAATTCCCATTTTTTTGTATGGTACTTTTCAGCGGTTGCAAACACCAGCTTATCCATCATGTGGCCATGTGGTCTTTATTTACTTCAACGAAGCTTCTTCTCTGTCAGAAATATGGCTGGTCGTTGCTTTGTCGAGCGAACACCTCAGCCTACTGACACAACCTAAGAGGTTCAATCCGTGTTTGTATGGGGCTTATTTTTGATCCAGGGTGTTTTCCACTGATTCCCTTGAAGCGAACTGTGCCAGTAATCTCTGCCGATGCAGAACACATTTGAGGCGAGTGCATATCGGGTCTACAGGGAGTCAGGTCACGGCCCTTGGGGAAAGTCCGATGTCATCTCCCCAATCTTGGATGATCTTGGTAGGTCAGCTTTTTGCCGTCGCAGCACCAGCATTTGGTGGCGGACTAAGCGGTGTACAGAAGGAGATGAAGGCGGGATGTACACCATGACTTCTGCGATCAAAGCATAAAGACTAGGCCATGTATGGCCATGTATGGCCTTGTATGATTGCATGGCATGCACGTCGAATCTACAATGGTCTATGCCATCTATGCCAATGCAAAATCTACAAGCTTGATCGACTTGAGCAGAGGGGTTCCATATGATTTTGAGTAGCATTTTTGGCATGACTTTGGACTGGTTTGACAACGACCAGTAGCAAGGCTGATATGTGTCAACATGTGTCAGCCGACTGCAGAAGTTGCGAGGCTCATGGTCTCATTGCAGGTGAAGTCATCCGGTGTGGTACTCAATTATGCTTTGTGTCAAACTATGTCAAACTGGGTGCGACATGTCCAAGGATCTGTAATGATCTTCAAGAGACCTTTCAACATTTTCAACAGAATGCCTAGGAAGGGAGACTTGCAAGTGATCGAAGTGATGGAGTGAGTTCCTCAGACCAAATCTCTTGCGCTTGTGCATCACTTGCAGTGGGTCAGGCGGATCGAACTCATGCACGAGCAAACGGAGCACACAAAAAAGTGTTTGATTAAGATGCTTTCAACACAGATGTTTTGGGCCAGTGTATGAGCCTTTTCCATGATGCTTTCAGCATTGATAGTTGGATCATGTTGTGTTTTGGTCAAACAGGCCTCACCCTTGGATGAGTGAGCAGCCAGAGAAACAAGCTCTGGAGACCATCGAAGGTAGATGAGCTCTGAACGAGCTCTGCTTTGAGCTAACTATGGAGAAAGGCTCCAATTTTCTGACGATTCTTCATCCCCAGGCCCTGTGCGATTGTGGAAACATAGTAAACATGCAATAAAAAGTCTTTCACAATTTGCAAGGATCCCAAGATTGTCGAGTCTTCACTCTTGACCATATTTTCCACGCCAAATGGTGTGCCTACAAAAAGGCGTGTCTGAGACTTTGCTCTGGCACTAGCTTGCTATATCTTGCTATGGATCAGGTGCACAGTATATCAACGTATATCATTTTGGTGCAATCTGGTGCATTTCTGTGCATGTTTGGCCGACTACCGTGCAAGTGTTGAGATATGTTGAGACTGTTGAGATCAATCATTGGCATTGGCGCGAAATTTTGCTCGGAGTGCTTGATCTTGGCAAAGTTTCCAGGTCAGGTCTGCCCTGGGCAAGGCTCAACGGGCTCAACGGGCTCAACGCTTGACAACGCTGCGCTGTGCTGCCAGCCAAAGAACATGAGGGAGCCAGCAGCTCAGAAAAGGCCACGACAGCTGACAACAATTTCCTGCACCAGATATACTAGGTGCATGGCAATGACCTACAATGACATTTCAAATAGCTTCTTGATGCTTTCTTTTTGGTGTCTTTCATTTGCAAACAAGATGGAGAACACTGGAGAGCCAGGTTGTTGAGAGAGGAAGAACAGAAAGAACAGAGATTGCCTTTGAAGGCTGGGCAGCCTTGGAAGCATTATTTTTGTGTTGTTTAGGCCATCTTGGGCCCTTGTTTAGTGTTGCACTATGTTGCACTTGTTCTAAGTCGACCTGGATGATCTGGATGTTCAGGCAGCGGAGCCGACGCCGCGCAAACTGGCCGTTTTTTCCGTGCTTTCTTTAGCAACTGCTTTGCTTGAAAGTCTTGGATTGAGCCCACATGGAAAGTCGTGTCAGAGCCAACGAAGACTAGAAGCCACTTGGTGCAGCACTCCAACCCACTACTTGCATTCACACTTGGAATGCCTTGGAAGGACGAACATTCTTACTTGGACATCCTTGGACATCCTTGGACATCCTTGGACACATTTACACCGGGCCCTTTAACCAAGGCCAGCGAGGAACCCGACCCGAACTTGACGCCGGACCACAACAAGCTCTGTGTCCTACAGTCCTACCGACTTTTCACTGAACGTTTACTCACGCAGTACGAACCAACGTCGCATATTGTCACAATAAGGGTGGAATGGGGCGAAACTGTCCGAAGCCCATACCAGGACGAGCAAAAAGCTCATATCCGGAAGCGCACCTGCACAGATGTCGGCTTCTTAACTTTTGCAGAATAGACCTACTGCTCCACTTTTTGAAAATATGATATGACACAGCGATGCAGTGGATATTTATGGGCATACAGCATGGATCCATACAGCAGTAGAAAATGGTCCTATGGAAGCATTACACCTGCCCTTTGCTCATTCTCATGTAGCTGGTATCTAGCTGCTATGTGGTTGCCATGCAGCTATGTAGCTACGTACGTGTATAATAGCATATATATATATACACACAAGTACACATACATCTATACAATTGACAGAAGCTTGTTGTCTTTGCGTTTTTGATGGGCTAGGTCTACACTATGAGAATATCCAACTGGCTTGTGACTAAATATCCTAGCAGCCATTCTGAATCCCTGACATTTTACTTACATACGCACTGATCTCACGAATATATTTGAATAGAGTGCAGGGACTGGAGAAGACAACTCCTCAAGCCATAAGACAAAAGGAAACTCATCTTGCTTCGTGCGCACAGTTCCCAAAACCATCCACGGGAGAGGAACCTTCGTCTTGGAGGCTTCAAAAGCGCACCACAAGATGAAGATGATGATGATGATGATGATGATGCTGATGCTGCTGCTGCTGATGATGATGATGCTGATGATGATGATGACGATGATGATTATGATGATGATGATGATGATGCTGCTGATGATGATGATGATGATGACGACGACGACGATGATGATGATGATGATGCTGATGATGATGATGATGACGATGATGATGATGATGCTGATGATGATGATGACGATGATGATGGTGATGATGATGATGATGCTTCTGATGATGATGATGATGACGATGACGATGATGATGATGATGATGTTGATGTTTGTATAAAATTTGAAAAATGTTTGTTAATTCTTGTTAATGTATGGAAGCACGCTGTTCACACAGTGACACACACACAATTTGAGCCGAAGATGTGCTCTCAGATCCAGACAGGGCTAGTGACTCAGCACATCATTTTTTCTACACTTCATTGTTGGTTTGGCGGGCGCTCAATCCCTCTCTTCAATCCTTCAGGCAGACGCACGTTCGGATGCAATCCTACCCATGATGTATAGCAGTCCTATAGGAGGCACAGAGCACAAAAGATCGCAAAAACATATTGTGGGGTGTTTGCAGGAGGGGAGGACAGGCTCAGGCAATTCATATAGGTGGTAGATGGTGGTAGGAAGAACCCCCTAATGATAATTCTTCAGGCTAGAATTTGTGTTTTGCTCTGCATGAACCCAGGTCTGTCTTGCAATATCGGCCCTGCTTGGTAGCAATGGACATGTCCAGAAGTAAGAGACATCCAATGACATCAGCTGAGCATTTGCTACGAATAGTGACTCTCTTGAAAACACCTTGCCTCGCTCAACCCCTCAGTGGAATCACTCTCAAGAGAGTGCAAACTGTATGAAGATTGTCCATCTAAAACATACAAGGCAGAAGAAAGGTAGAAAGATGCAGAAAAATGCGAGCCTGAGGCAGAACTTACTTCTTGTAGGAACCAGAACATTTTCATAATTTCATTCATACTTTTAATGCCAATGAAGCGCAACAGCCTACTGCTCTGCTTGGCTTGGACTTCGTGGACTTGCACCGCTGGGGCTTTGGACACGTGGACCGTGGATCATTTGGAGAAGCTCAAGGCGGACGTCCTTCGCTTCTTACCAAAAGATGTAGCTTCGACAGACCGACTTCGTGCCTTACCATTGAGCTCTCCTCCAGCCAGACAGAAGAAGATCGATCACGTTGTGGTGCTTTACATGGAGAACCATGCTGCAGATGCTTTCTTTGGATGCATGGATTTGCCAGGATTTGATGGAATCAGGGGCCATGCCATCCCCAAAGATCCCACGAATCTGTCCAAAGGTCAAATCAATATCACCTGCGGAAAAGCATTGTATGTTTGCGAAAAGGGTCCAAGTTATGACACCTTTGCTCCCAAGTTTGGCAGGGACGGTCGACAAAATCCGAACTTTTACCCGTATTCTCAGCAGGACGACAATTTCTCGGCCTGGAATGGAGCCTCAGAGAATGGCACTGCGGTGACTATGTTTGGACCAGAGCAAATTCCAGTCAAGTCTTCTCTTGCACGTGAGTTTGGAGTCTTTAATCGGCTATTTACTGCCACTCCAACTGCAAGTAGTCCCAATCATCTTTTTACGCAATCAGCAACTAGCTGTGGCATGACTTCAAATGTTCTTTACCCTGACTGTGGTGGAAATGGGACTTACTTTCCACAGCCAACAATCTATGATTCTTTGCGGTTGCACAATGTGAGCTTTAGCCTCTTCATGAACAGCACATGCGGCATTGATGGGAAGCCGTGTCATGGTGAAGATCCGCATGACCCGGATGCTGGCTCAGCGATTTCTTCCCCTGACGTTGCAATGATAGGTGTTGCACGACACAAGGACCGTTTCATGAGCCAACAGATTTTCTATGAGCAAGCGGCCAATGGCACACTGCCAGCTCTGTCGTGGATACTTCCACCACTTCAAGCCTGTGACCATCCTTGTCATGACATTGCCAAAGGTGAGCGTATTTTGAAGGATGTCTATGAGGCTCTTCGTGCTGGGCCTTCATGGAATCGCACTTTGTTTTTCGTTGCCTATGATGATGCGGGTGGTTTCTATGATCATGTGATACCTCCACACGAAGGAGTTCCAGCGGATGGCTCTTCTTGCATTGTCCCGGGTGCTCATCCCAAGTGTGGACATCCGTTTGACTTCAGGCGGTTGGGTTTGCGGACAACATCGATGCTCATCTCACCTTGGGTCGGCAAAGGTGTGGTTTTTCAGGAACCCCGGCATGGTCCGTTCAACACATCACAATTTGAGTTGACTTCAGTTCCTGCTACTGTGAAGAATCTCTTCAACTTGTCTTTTTTCCTCACCAATCGAGATGCTTGGGCAGGGAGCTTTGAGGAGCTCTTGCTTGAAACACCCCGCACAGATGCACCACTTCATTTACCAGATGCTCCTCCTCCAGCAACACCCTGGACTCCACCTCCACCCAAATCGAGGGAGAAAAAAGGTGCACATGTCCGGACTGCGCCACTCCCCATTCCTCAACACTGCAGTTCTTGGCACGGTGAACGTGAATTTCAATGTAAGGGCTTGAGCTCTGCGAATCTCAAGCAGAAGCGAAACATCGGAATGTTTGCCAGCATGCTCAACGTTGAAGCCCCAGATCTAACAAAGTTGTCTTCACCGCAGGCCGACCGTTGGCTTGCCACACACTGGCGAAAGTGGATGTCGCAGACACTTGACGATGTCTTCAGTTCTTTCAATCATAAGGTGGCTTCGCAAGAGCCGCTTCAGAATGAGTTCATTTGAATGCGCAGAGAGCTTGTCTAGTGCTCCAAATTTTTGACGGGTTGCTTGGAGAAAGAAAAAGGTGCGAATGGACCAATGCAGCACATGTTCAGCTGTCCATCTTTGAGGTCAAAAGACAATCCCTCTGTTTCATTCGCAATTTACGTTTGGAGAGCTTAAGAGCCTAGTACCCTGCAATGCCAACAGATATCAACAGATGCCTGGTAGCATGCCGTACTTCTACTGTAGTATGTTCCGATACGTTGCACACACAGTGTATCTTGAGATCAGGTGTTTTGCGTGCTTCTGTTCGCTGGTGCGATAGTTGGCCTCTTTGAAGTTCTGCGCGCTGCACTTAGAGCATGTTTCGGCCACATTCTTCTCTGCACTTAGTGCCCAGAGCTGAGGCTCTAAGAAATTACCTGAGATCAGAGCTGTGCCTGAGGATATGGATTTCAGAATGGAGACACGCGCCGGATCTACTATGGTAGGGCCCTCATGGGCCCTCAGTGCACAGAGTCACAAGTGAGGATTACAAGAAGTACATGGACTGTGCAAATATCGTGATATCATCCAGCCTTCCAAGCCAGAAGAGAAATCACGAAAGCTTGTGCTGGCTGAACTTCCTCCTGCTTTAGCAAGGAATAGGCAGGCACCAGGACTTTGAACCTCTTGAAACTTTCAATCTTATACCCCCCCGCCTCCTCCTCTGGACCATGGGTTGCGTGCAAGTACAGGGTCGTCATCTTCAACATTTCATTTCGTCATCATCGTCATCATCGTCATCATCGTCATCATCGTCATCATCGTCATCATCGTCATCATCGTCATCATCGTCATCATCGTCGTCGTCGTCGTCGTCATCATGATCATCATCATCATCATTGTAAAACTCAGGTGAGCTGTCTCCCACTCTGTACTAACAATCTCTCTGTAGCCCAGCAGCGGTACCATGAGCTGCACTTTTCATTGTGTACGCTCAAGGGCCCTGTATTGAGCCAGGTCATGTATCCATGATGTACTATTCACAGGTATACACAGAACTGTCCAGTGGACATGTACATGCTGAGTGGCGTGTTTAACACCCCTCTCGACACAAGCATGTACTGGACACAAGCACCACCAAATGTTGAACTGTAACTGTATTAACTTTTACAATCTCAGCCAACTAGCATGTACACCCAAATCGGGTCGTACTGTACCTTGAGACTCAAAAGTCAATGCGCACATGTACTGGGATGTACTGTCTAGCTACAGCTGTACAAAATCTGCATCAGCTACTCGCATGTATCAACATCATGTATCAACAGTGCTTCACTAATTCTAATTCCTCTCAAATCACAGTTCTTGTATTTCAGGGATCGTCAGCTGTAGTCTCATCAGCCGTAGTGTCCATGGCAACCAATGTGGCTGAGGTGGCCGTACTCATGGCTACCACTTTGTCCCTCATCTGTTGAGATCCCAAGTTCTCTGCCTCATTGAAGTGCTCTTTCACCTGTACAGTGAATTGAGCTGTGTAGTGTAGCAGCGCCCTCTGTAAATCATCTCCCATATGTCGAGCAACTGCCGTACCGGAGTGGTACAGGCTCATAGAAAGGCCCGCATGTTGAGGGTCAGTGACTGGCCTGTTGATCACTGTACGCACATTCAGAGGCACGTGCTGAGTCCAAGTGTGCCCATTGGTAAAGCTGTAGCGCTTGAGAATTTGCATCCAGTTGGCGCGGATCCTGAGCACTGTCTGCGATCCATGCTCTGTAGTATCGAACATGTACGCAGGTTCACCCTGGTACATCAGGCCGAGAAAGCTTCTGTTGAAAGCTTTGCCCCAACCATGGTACAAATTGGTGAGAACCTTGCGTACATTGGGAACAAACATCACCATGCAGAAGACGGGCGTGTATGCCACGACTCCTGTCGCGATGCACCACAGCATGTATGTCACCGCATCGTGAAAGCTGCAGTGCCAGGATGTAAATCCTGTGTTGTGGTGAGTATGTTGGACAGCCGGCAAAGTGCCATCGTCGATCGACTGGGCATTGTACTCCTGCTGAGTCATTGCCACAAACATGTACTTCACACCCTGTGCCTCGGCATGGTTCACGGTCTCTTCCCATGTACGTTAGTACACATGTACCGGTTCCACCTCGAGAGACTGTTCCATCTCTCCTTTGTCGGTGGGGGCCCACAACGACGAGTAGGGCTGTACCTCACCGCAGTTCAAGCGATGAGCCATGTGTACTGAGACTATTTAGTCCTGTACCTGACGCTGGGGCTTGTACCGCTAGGACGGACGGCACGGCCAGCGAAATTCAAACTGTATCCATGCAGCCAAACAAAGTTGTACAAATTCAGGGCAGCATCTTGTACATCTCAAACTTAGTGAACATGTACCCGTGGGACGTGGTGGACCATGCAAATCTTAGACTGTATCATGTAGTCCCCATGTACTCGTTCAATCGCCGTGACTCAGATGATGAGGTGAAAATGACGAAGGTGAAGAATGAACATGTACGTCTTGAGGTCGTGAAACGTGTATATGTCAAACTCCGCATGCTGCAGGCATGTGTTCATACATGCGTGTTTGTATGCTGGTATGTGAGACTGCGGTAGCTATGTAGCTCCTCAGCTATTCGGTGGAAACTTTGTAGCTGTATCTCTCCTCAGCTACCGTGGTGAAACTGTTGCAGCTGTATCTCTCCTCAGCTCTCTGGCGGACGTATGCCCGCTTGGTACAAGTGCCATTGTAGCACTTCTCTTGTAAGATACTTTGTCAGTATGTCAGCTGGATTGTGTTTGGTGTTGATTTTGTGTATCGCTAGGATACCATCGTGGATGAGATGTCAGATGAACACGTACTTCAGTTCAATGTGTTTGGCTCTTTTGGAGACTCCGATGCGTGTAGCCATACTTTTACCGGACGAGCTGTCCGTGTGTATCTTGAGGTTGTTTGTAAGAATTTCTCCCAGGAAATTCTTGAGGTGTAGTGCTTCTGTTGCTCCTGTACCGATGGCGTAGAACTCACTCTCTGCTGATGAGAGTGCTACGACTGCTTGTGTACCGGATCCAAAGTGCACTGTTGTACCCAAGAATTGGATCACGAAACCTGTTGTGCTCTTTCGTGTAACGTGACGACCGGCCCAATCGGCGTCCGTGTACACGTTCAGGGCAAGTGGTTCCTTGTTGGTTGATGTAAGTTGTATTGTTGGTTGTATCACAAACTTGTGGTTTGATGTACCTGCCAGGTATCGGAGGCAGTGTCGGAGACGCTGCTTGTCCCAAAATGTAGGCTGCTGCAAGGAGCGAGCCAACTCCTTTACTGCAAAGCTCAGGTCAGGTCGTGTGTATGAAAGCCATTGTAGCTTTCCGACCAAGCGTCTGTATTGGGCATGTTCCTACTTGTCGAGTAGCTCCTCTTGTTCAGGTGTGGACGTGGAAGTTGTTGCTCCTGGTGTAACTGCTGGTGTCGCCTTGAGTCGGTTGGCTTCTCGTAGTATGTCGTTGGTGTAGCCGTCGTTGAGTGAAATTTCAAATTGGTCTCCTTTGTTTGTGATTCGTCGACCAAGGAAGTCGACTGTCTTGCCTGTTGTACAAGTGCCTGTGTGTCGCAGTAACATCTTGGTCTGTAGATACGTGTGACCTCTTCGGGTTCGCCGATGAACAAGAGGTCGTCCACGTAGACCATGGTGTACACCTTGCCGTTAGTGTAGACATTGGGCTCCGACTGTAGTCGTTTGAGACCGAGGTCTGTAAGCACCTTGGCCAAGTGTTCCTGCCAGGCTTTTGGCGAGCTACGTAAGCCGTACATAGCCTTATGTAATCTCCACAGGATGTTGGGGTTTGTGTAGAACTCTTCGGGAGGACGGAGTACTAGGCCTGCTGATGCTGCCAGTGCGTGTAGGAATGCTGTGGATATGTCACCCACTTGTACAATCCAACCTCTGGCCTGCTCAAAGCCAATAGTATCCTGAGTACTGCAAACAGTGGTGTGCTTGCGTACACATCATCCTGATCTTCGATGTGTTCTGTGTATCCTTTGGCTACAATCCTTGCTCGTACCTCATCTCCTTTGGATCTGTAGACCCATCTGGAATCGATGATGTTGTCGAGGTTCAGTTCTTGTCGCTGTTGTGGTGTGAGCTTTGTAACGTCAGTCACTTCGTACACCTTCTGTGCTCTCATTGATTCCATTTCCTTACGCATAACTTTCCTGAGTTTCTCTGTATCGAAGCCTTCATTGTTGTATATGTGTGGCTCCAGGAGTCTTTGTTCTGCTCGTACCTCTTGTGCATCCTCACTTGTTGCTGTTGTGATTTTCTTCCTGCTTTTGAGTTGTACTGTCACCGCGTTGATCCTCATTCTTGGTTTCTTCGCTTGTTCTCCTGCTTCTTCTGGTCTTGTAGCGGCTTGTTGTTGTGTGGTTTCTTTCCTGCTTTTGCTTGCGCTACCTTCATGTATTTGGTCATCCAGTGACCTGCTTGTAGTGGGCGGTCTGTTGACTGGTGTTGGCGAAGTACCCAGTCTCATCGTAGTGTGTGCAGTTGGTGTTGGTTCTCCTTCTGTTATGTGTCTCTTTGTTTCTTCTGTTCTTGCCTTCTTTGCCTGTGTCTCACCCGTTGGTGCTGGTGTGGTGTCATCACGTTGCTGTGTAGACCTGGCTGCAGGAACAGGTGTTCTGTCCTGCGACGAGGCTGCCTGACCATGTCGGTCGGCTGTATCTGCCTGTTGTGCTTGCTCTGTACTTGCCTCTGCCGCTGGCAGTGGTGGTAGTAGAAAGGCTGGTTGGAATCCAGGTGGTGGTGAAGGGTTCCACGGTGTACCTTTAACTGTTCCTAACATTTGTTTGTCGTACCTCGCTTCTCCTGCGAGTCTCCTCACTGTACGTGCTCGTACCACTCTGCTTGCAACACCTACGAAGGATTCACCTGTTGACGTACACTTTCCTAGCCAAGTACCTCTGAAGAATCTTGGCTCCAGCTTTGGTCGTTGTCTGGGTGTAGGGACCATGTGCATTGCGGTTCCTCCAAATTCACATAGGGCTGCGTTGTGTGTACGTCCCCATCGTGCTTGATACCCATCAGCTCTGATGAGAAACCTGTTGATCAGGTATGCTGAGTGTCGTACTGCCCATGCCATCAGTGGATGGTCTGTGGGGATTTGTAGGTTGTAGTTCTGCTGTACCTGTTCTCTGAGTGTTCTGATTTGTCCTGTCAGTGTGCGGTGGTACCTTTCAACGTTCCCGTTGCTTTGTGAGCTGTACGCAGGTGAAAAGCGTACTGCCATGTTGCCACATGCTTTGGCTGTTGCTTTGAGTAGTGCTATCAGGTACTCCTCATTGTCGCTTTGTAGAATGCCTTCTGTCCGGCCACACTCAAGGAGGAGTGCTTGTAAACAGGTCTGCGCGTAGCTGAACTGATTGTGCTTGTTTGTAATCATTGCTGCCATTGCCATGCCTGTTTGTACGTCGATTGCTGCAAGTACCGGTGTGGGAAACTTGTCACCAAAACCGGTGATGTAGGTGAAATCAACTTGCACGATTGGATGCCGCGATGTCTGCTTCGGGTGATTTGCTTGCCTGCCTTTTGCTTGTACGCAGATTGGACACCAACTTCTGTATGGCATGTGTGTAATGTTGTGTTCCTGTATTTCCTGTGGTGTCGGTTGTGTAGACATTGTCATTGCCTTTGCTCGTGTTGCCATTTGAGGTGTATCGTCTTCAGTGGGCAGATCCTCACTGTACTCCTGTCCAGTGTTCTTTTCTTGTAGGTTGTGGTTCAACCGTCCAGTTGCCTTCAATTCTCCTGATGTTGTGTTCGGAGTGTATGTTTGTGTATCGTGTTGGTAGAAGCTTGTTGATGTCTGGTCCATTGTCTTCAGGAGTTGGTACGTAGAATTCTGTTCTGGGTATCGCATGTACTCTCTTCCAATGCCTTCCTTCTCTGATCCAATAGTCTGTTGTGCGTTGTACTTTATCTGGTGGTGGAATGGTTGCCTCATCCTGAACCATGTTTCTCCTTGCCAAAGGCCTCCTGTAGGCTCTCTGTTCCTTTGTTCTTTTGTCAATGTTTTGTATTGGTCCTCCAGTACGAGGGGCTCCTGCTGTTCTCTGTGAATAATTGTTCTTCTGTAGTTGTCAAATCTGTCCAGAGGTGCTGGACATGTAGACTGCTTGCCGTGGTCTGGTGTGAACATTGCTTTTCTGTCTCTCTTGTGTGCTCTAATCAGGTACCCTTCCTCATTGTACTTCCAATAGTCGTTGTTTCCTCCTTGTTGTACACGTGGAGCTGTCGGTGTAAGGCCAATCATTGCTGCTTGTCCTTTTGGTGTGTTTATGATGACCAGGTTGTAGCCTTGTTCAAGGGGTGCGAGTTCCAGGTGCATGTATAGGAGTTGGTTCTTCTTTGTGTGAGTGGTACCTTGAAACATTGTCCATGTGTAAGCGTTGACTCTGTACCTGTGAGTGTGCGGCTAAAGCCTTGCGCCAGCAACCTTGTAACGCTGACGATTGGGTGTTGTATCCCTTAACACACGTCAAAGGGAATCACCATTTGTTTTCCTTGGCCTTGTCTGTTGTAAAACCTGATCCATCTGTCTGTCTGTACCCAAGGATCTTGAGTGGCTCATCTGTAACTGAGCGCAGTGGTGGTGTCTCCTCTAGTGTAAGTTTCTGTAGTGGGAAGCCTGCACCAAAGCTTGGCGAACAGACATGCACTGCTGCCCCACTGTCAACCATAATTGCTACTGTTGCGTCTGTGTTGAGGTCTGTGCGTGTAACTGACGCTACAACCAGTTCTTCAACCTTCACTGAAGAAACTGCCTGTGCCTGTTGCAAGGTTGGTGCTTGTTGTTGTGTGTACTCTTGAGCCTGCTGCTCTGGAAACCATTGTTGCTCATACTGCCATGCTTCTTGTTCACTCCATTGTTGGTATTTTGGGTCATACTGTTGTTGATTGTGCTGCTCCTCATAGTAGTGTTGTTGTTGGTCTGTGCTTTGCTGTTCTGTTGCTTCTGCTACGTTGTACACTCGTACACGGCAATCCTTTGCCATGTGACCCATCTGTCCGCATCTGTAGCATGCTCCTTTGCCTTTTCCTTTGTCTCCTTGCCATGTAGGGGGTCCTTTACCTTTTGTCTTTCCTTTGACCGGTGTGTATCCTGATCCTTTGAACGCATTGCCGTAACCAATTGGTGTTTGTGCTTTGCCTTTGCCATACCCACTGTTGTTGTATCCTGTGTATACTTTTCCTTTGTTGTGCCATTGTGTCTTTCCTTTGCTTTGTCCTTTGTATCTCTTTCCTTTGCACTTGTGCTTTCCTTTTCCTTGGTACATCAGGCCGATGTCCATTGGTTGTGGTCTGTTGAACCTGCACTTGTGTTGGTGCTTGTTGTAGGGCTTGCATTTTTGAAAATGCTGTACTTGCTCTGTGATACTCAAGAATGAGCTCACGTACATCAACATAACGCTGGATTGTACCTGCTCTGAGTTGTAGGTATTGTTGCAGTGCTCCTTTTGTTTCGTTGAGTAGTACTGCAATTTTGATGTTGTCTGGTATTGGTGCTTGGTTGTCCCTTTCGTACCGGGCGATTTCAAACTCCCATGTTGTAAATGACTCTTCAAACTTCTGTTCGTTGAATTGTGGATTGAGTAGTTTTGTAAGGTATCCTACACTGTGTGTACCTACTGGTGTCGAGAACCTGTTGTGTGGTTGCCTCCAGGTCTCCAAGCCTTGTGCTTGTGTACTGTGTTGTCTGCTCAGTACTGCTGCTTGTCCTGAACAAACGCTGACCAGTATGTAGTGTAGGTCTCTGCTGAGTTGTACCCAAAGTTGTGCTTCTTGTGGTGTAGTTGCCCCATCTCTAAGAAGGGCGTCTTTAACCTCCATGTTGGATGTTTCTGCTGTTTGTAGGCGTGGAAACTCTGAGTCTTGTAGCACAAGGTATGCTACCATCTTGTGCTTCCATTCCTCAAATGTTGCGTAGCCTCCTGTAAAGTAAGGTGGTTGTAATTTGTACCTGTGCGTTGATTGTAGTTTCCTCCAGCTGCGGCCATGTTTGTCTTGTTGTACTTTCTCAACTGCTGTTGCTTTGTTGCGTTGTGTATTGGAGCTCACCCTGTCCTGTATCGTCCAGGGATCACTGCTCCGCTACCATGTAAAACTCAGTTGAGCTGTCTCTCACTCTGTACTGACAATCTCCCTGTAGCCCAGCAGCTGTACCATGAGCTGCACTTTTCACTGTGTACGCTCAAGGGCCCTGTATTGAGCCAGGTCATGTATCCATGATGAGCTACTCACAGGTATACACAGAACTGTCCAGTGGACATGTACATGCTGAGTGGCGTATATATTTAACACATCATCATGGTCATCATGATCATCATCACCATCATCATCATCATCAGCATCAGCATTATCGTCATCATCATTGGTGCCCATCATCATCGTCATCAGGTTACTCTTGCAGCTGAGCAGTACCCGGTACAACATTAGTAGCGTCCTGCTAGCTGCTAGCTTGCGTGCCTCCCCTGGCCTCAAGTTGGATCAAAGCGATCGCATCCATCGCACTCTTTCAGAATTGACCTTGAATAAATAGGATCAGTTGGGATCGGTCGAATTGGTTTATGTCGCTTTCACGGTTGCTTTTGACCAGGCCTGAACTGGGAAGGTGAACTTTGTGGCCTTGATGAGCCAGTCAAGGCGCATTTGCTGAGTCAGTCCGTAGCATATCACAAAATGATTTGAATTTGGACACAATGTCCAAACAGAAATTGAGTGGTGAAAGGATCAGTTCACCCGTAGTTTCCAACATTAAACTATCAACGGCAGAGATCGAATTCATTGCTTTCGAAATCTTTCGTTTTCCTTCGTGATTTTTTGGCTTTAATTCTGATTCTGATGCGAGTCGTATAGGCGACATGGGCTCCGTGCGTCAGGACAAGCCACTGCTCTATTGGTGCACAAAGCCAGGGGACTCAACCTTGAGCGAGGCACTTGAACTACTGGCCTGAAGAGATTGTGAGACTTTGGAAACTTTGGAAGCATCTTTCATCTTTTGCAAGGGTCTGTTTTGATTGGAGGATCTTCTGAATAACTTCAGTCTGCCTACAGAGCTCAAAGATCCGATTCTTGGATGGAAGGATGGAGAAGGATTGGAGATGGACTGGGTGTCACGTTGAATCAGTTCGAGTTTGAATGGCAAGTCGTCAAACTCATCCGAGCCGTCCAAACCCATTGTCAGAGGCCATACCGAAGCCAACTGATGAAAATGGAGCCGAGGTCTGGAGCTATTGTGTCCCTCATCAACAAAATTGTAACGCCAGGTGAAGCGTTGGATTTGCTTCACCCGAGACTTGGAGGGAATAAATTGATATTCTGCTGGAATTTCCGTCGAGTTGCGACGGGGGGTATTTGCAACCTGCATCCTGTTGCTGCAAGTGTCTCTTGTACTCTGAACAATGCTAACGTTTCTACCTGCACAGCCTCATAAGCCTTCTAGCAGGAATTTCGCAGGCTGCATTTTTGGTGCTTTGCTGCTATAATACGATGCATGGAAGCCATTGGAAGCCCTGATGTGAAAACAGCACCTCTGCATACCTGACACATTCGAACCAACTTGACTCACTTGACCTTTTAAATGAGAGTAGCCAACGTCCTTCAGATCTTCTGAGGATTTGTGTGGCAAGTTGCCCCGTTGACAGCGGCAGTTTCCACCCGTGTTTGCAGTGCCTCGGATGTTGGACTGTCGCAATGCAAGAGTACATAAGCACTCAGAGTTTAACTACCTGAAATCCGATGAACTAGATTTATTCATGCAACCATGCCTTTTTGACTTGCGGCTTGAGATCTTCAGATGTCATTTCTTAGGGTGGAACTGTGGAACTTTGAAAAGACCTGCGCAATTTGAGCGTTGTGTGTTTTCTCACAAGTGAGCCCCGAGTCTTTGACCCAAACGCCCTTGCGGTAATTGCCAGATTCTTAGCAATTTGTCAAGGTCCGTCAATACAGAGAAAGGAACAAAGAGCTTCGATGGTTCGGAGCTCAGCCCTGAACACCCACACTTTGAAATCTGAGATGGTCTAACACAAGCCTATCGAGGATTCTGTTGAGAGGATAGAATCGAAATGAATCGAAAGAATGCAATGATCTGAATTAAATGCACAACATGTGAAATTGGTCTGAGTACTTTGCAGGCAGCTTCTTGCAGACATCCGACTTTATATCAAAGTTGGTGCTCTGTCTGCATTTGCAGAGCTTCGAAGGGACGTATGTAAGTACTTGTAAGACACTCTGGGCCCTGGCATTCATTGAAAAAGCTGTGAGTTGCACTGCAGCATTCCTTCCAAGCGCTCCAAGTTGTTGGTTGCGTTTCATGCTATACAAGCTATACTGTGTGTTATACTATGTTTCGTTCTATGTTATACTGTGCCTTCCTCGTCGTCTTTGGCTCCGATCCGGGGATCCAAGGTTCAAGATGTTGAAACAATCACCTTTGCTCATCGATTCTGCATGCCAAAGGAGCGACTGTGTTCTGATAGGATACAAAGGAAGAGCAGATATGAATGTTTTTTTACCGAACTCAAATGCATAGGACATTGAAATGCGGAACACAAATGCAATCTCCGGTAAAGAGTTTTGACGCGTGTTTGAAGAGATGTGAACAGAAGTGATGGTAAACTATGATGAAATATGGATATGGCAAGGCCTTGTGGCAAACTTGGAACTGTTTGGAACGGTTTGGAACGGCTTGGTACTAGTGGCTCTTCCAGGAGTCTTTTGCATGGACGATTGAGTATCTCAGCAGAAGTTGGGTGCTGGCGTGGTCAGTACCCCTTTGCAGCCCCAGCCAAGGACTCTCAATGAGACAGTGGAGGGCACTGCAACAGAGGTGGGCAGAGGACAGAGAGAAAAAATGCATTTTGCCAACGTCTTGCAGTTGCATGTCAGGTAAAGCGCTGAGTACGCACTGTCAAGCAACCGATATTTGCAAGAGCGACAACGCAACTTCAACCATATCAAGATTCACGCCATAGCTCTGTACACAACCTGTGTCGGTCAAGTTTGGGCCAGGTGATGTATGGACTGGCTGAAATCGTTGAAGCGCGAAAGATTTTCTTGTTTACAGGACCATGACGTTGTTGTTGCTGTATCATGCTGTATCTGGTGTTTTGAACACAGATAACTTTCGATAGGGTTTTCATGTTTGAAGCAGCTCTTTGGATCAGGGAAAAACATGAGGTCACCACATCATTGCTACTGCTATTGCTATTACCACTACTACTACCACCACTGCTGCTGCTGCTGCTACTGCTACTACTACTACTACTCCTCCTACTACTACTACTGCTACTGCTACTGCTACTGCTACTGCTGCTGCTGCTATTACCACTCTTTTTACAATTGCTACTATTACTATTGCTACTACCAGCAACATTCTCACAGCGGTACTCAAAGCAACCGAAACCAAACATGTCGTGAGTGCACCGATTTTAGCAACACAGGGTCAGACACTTGTAGTTCCTGCTTTCGGCTGTATGATGTTGTTTGCTGTTGTTATGAGAGCCTTTGGATCTTGAGAACTCTATTGATAGCTTCATTCATGTCCATCAATATGTGACCATCCCAGATATCATGACCTCAAAAACAATTGGCAGATGCTCGAGCAAATTCTATATCTTGGTTTCGCTCGAGCAGTGATCCCCAGAGTGGCCCTGACCGGTTCATGCCCGGGACTCTCCGGATCATGTCTCTGGTTTCGTTGAAACGGCTTCTCCACCATACTCACTCTGCAACGATCAATGAGTATATCAGAGATATTCAGAGATCATGATACCTGTGCTGAAGTTTCTTTTCCACTCTCAGCAGAAAGATAGGTACAACAGACACCTAGGAAGCATTCAAGGCAACTTAGAGTTGCAGCAGAGACATGGGAACGTTTGACCATGATATATGCAGACACATTATGAAATCATATGCCCATAGACTTAGATTGCCCAGCAACAAGTGCAACAAGCATATTTTGAACACTACAACAGACACACATGAAGCACCTGAACTGCTGACAGCAGCCATGTTTCAGTATTGTTGAAATGATGTTGACATTTCATTGAAGGTTTTGTTGCTGGGAATTTTAAGCGCTTACGCGCGACAGCCGACCAGGGGCCCAACTATGTTGGCCCATCTTGTGGCTATGTTGGCCTATGTTGGCCTCATGTTGACCCATGATGAGCCAAAAGATCCGAAAAATGGGAACAGCAAAAAAACACTGTAAAACGCAGGATATTTTGATATTTTGATGGTCGGCGGCCTATCTTGGGGCTATGTTGGCCCATCGTGGGGCTATGTTGGCCTATCTTGAGGGCAATGTGGGCCCATCTTGGGGCTATCTTGGCCCATCTTGGGGGCTATGTCGGCTATGTTGGCCCATCTTGAGGCCTATGTTGGCGCATCTTGAGGCCCATGCTGGCCCATGTTGACCCATAGCCACAAGTTCCGAAAAATGGGAAAATAAGCGAAGAGCACTGAGGGACGGACCGGTCCTGCGGGCCACGCCCCCCACTGCCTACCGTCACTTTCTGAACCTACAAGAAAACTATAGCTGTCTGACCTGTCTTCCAGTCGCCAAGGCTCGCACACGGGGCGCTCGCCACGCCGAGACAGCAGGGCCCTGAGGGACGGACCGGGCCTGCGGGCGACGGCCGCCAGCGCCTAACGTCGCTTTCTGAACCTACAAGAAAACTAGCTAGCTGCCTTAGCTGTAAACAGTATGGCCCTGAGGGACGGACCGGGCCTGCGGGCAACGGCCCCCCAGCGCCTAACGTCACTTTCTGAACCTACAAGAAAACTAGCTGTCTGACCTGTCTTCCAGCCCTGAAGGACAAAGCGGAAGCCAAAACAACCAAACAGCAGGCCAGCAGTAACGTCTTCTCTGACGCGCTCCCCCTTGCCGTCGATGGGGTCGGCAGATTTTCTTCTTAATGCGAACTAACTGACTCATTCTACTCGAAACTATCCTACAAAAAGCGTTACTGTAGTGCATGGAAAATGCGTTAAAGCCAGATGCCTATGTGAAAAACTACAGTGTAGTTTTTCATTGATGAACAAATTAGCTGAGCCCCCTTAGAGCTCCTTATTTTCGCAGAACCTAATTTGGTGGGTTCACAGTATGCCGACCCCATTTTTTCCCCCATTGGAGACACAAACATAGGTGACCATAGGTGTGTGCTATTGCGTGCTTCTCTTGTGCCGTGCTGAAGCAAATGACGTATGAGTTGACGGATGCCGTGAAGCAGTGAAGCACTTGTAGTTTAAAGAGCCCCTTTGAACACAAGTCTATCGCCTCGCAGGATGTATGGCAGCAACTCAGAGCAAAGTGAACGTCAGTTTGCTCGCTTTGGAACTTTGAGGAGTAGACATTTTGATTCAAGTGGCATCGACTTTTTGGCAGCCAATAGTGTCAGAGTTCCTTGGCAAGTCCATGTGACTTCGGCTAAGGTGGTCCTCAGCTACCTCTTCATGTTCACACTTGACTGCCTAGCATTCCCAGTGCAGCCCTCAGCCTTTACTCAAGACGGAACAGTAGTTGAACAGTTTCAGTAGAGTTCGGCGAAAAGCTGAGCTATGGATAGGGCAAAAGTCTCATTTGTCTAATATGAATTTCCATGTTTCGAATGGAAAAATGCCCGGGCAAGTATCATGGATGACTTTCACTCTCAACCCCAGCTCTGAGCCTCTTCAATTTCAGCAGATTTGAGATTGCCGTTGAGCAACATGCCTCAATCGTCAGATTTGAATAGATTTGAATGATGCCTCAGGTGGTGTACACAACCCTTACTATTTGCGTTGTGGGACCAATCGGTGCTTCACTGTACTTCATTTATGGCGCTTTCCACCAGGAGATTAGTGACACCCTCAGTCAACTTGCACTGCGGTCACTATGGGAGACAACCTGGAACTCCATTGGCCCTTTTATTGGCCCGTCAAGTTCCAAGCTGCCTTGGAATTCAGTTTCTGCTGGATGTTACGTTTATGAAATATTTATTTACCAGTAGTACCGCACAAGGCGGTGGCGGAAGTTTCAAAAATAGGAAACCTATAGGAGAGCTTGGTTGTTGTGAATGAGGGATGGCAGAGCGAAGCCACTGATGGACCGAAAGGTGCTTGAGGTCTCCTCTCTTTCTCTCTCTCTTTCTCTGACTATCTACTTACCTACCAGGCTATCTTCTATGTATCTATCTATCTATCGATCTTTCTATCTCTCTCTTTCTCTCTTTCATTTAATTACCTATCTACCCATCTACCTATCTACCTATCTACCTATCTATCTATCTATCTATCCATCTATCTATCTATCTCTCTCTCTCTCTCTTTCATCTGTCTATCTGTCTATCTGTCTAGCTGTCTACCTGTCTGACTATCTATCTATCTATCTATCTATCTGATCTATCTATCTATCTATCTATCTATCTCTCTATCTATCTATCTCTCTATCTATCTCTCTATCTCTCTATCTCTCTATCTCTCTATCTCTCTATCTCTCTATCTCTCTATCTCTCTATCTATCTCTCTATCTACCTATCTATCTATCTATCTATCTCTCCATCTCTCATTCTATTGTTGTTGTAGTTGTAGTTGTTGTGGTTGGTGTTGTTGTTGTTGTTGTTGTTGTTGCTGCTGCTGTTGCTGTTGTCGTCGAGGTTAGGGTAGTTGAGTTAGTGAAGTTAGTTAAGTTAGTCAAGTTAGTTCAGTTAATCAGTGTCTACTTTTTCGACATCTTCACGTCAAAAAAGCCTCAAAACCCTCAGTTTTTTACACTTTTGACTTCGAAATGTGCTTCGCGCCACAACGGCGTGCACTTTTTCGACACTTTTTCGACATCTGAACCTCCAAAAGCGGTCCGAGACCGTCAGTTTTTAACACTTTTGACTTGGAAATGTGCTTCGCGCCACAACGGCGTGCACTTTTTCAACATCTCAACTTCCAAAAGTGGTCCGAGAATGGTGTGTTTTGTGCATTTTGACTTCGAAATGTGCTTCGCGCCACAACGGCGTGCACTTTTTCGACATGTCAACTCCCAAAAGTGGTCCGAAGCTGCGGTGTTTTGTACATTTTGACTTGGAAATGTGCTTCGCGCCACAACGGCGTGCACTTTTTCGACATCTCAAGTTCCAAAAGTGGTCCGAACCCCTGGTGTTTTGTACATTTTGACTTGGAAATGTGCTTCGCGCCACAACGGCGTGCAATTTTTCATCGCTCCTGTGGCCAGCTGGCTCTGCACCCGCCGCTTTAGCGAGCCTACTTTTCGACCCTCCGGAGCCACAAATCGTTGGAAAAACACAGTGTTTCGCGACTTTCCTACCTTTTCGCGCATCTGTAGCATCTGTCCTCTTACTCTTTCTCTTCTGATCTTCTCTCTTCTAATCTTCCTCTTCTCTGTGCCTCTGCCCTGCTCTGCTTTTCATCTCTCCATATTGTCGGAAGTTTGACTTCTAAACTTCCTTCGATTAGTCTATATTTCAGCAATCGGTTTCATCGGTCTGTCGGCAAAAGAGGTCAACTACCATGGAATTGCTGAAACCAATGGAACCAATCTAGAATCGTTGAGCGGTGGCTGGCCTTATGAGTCGCTAGAGCTTCGCCAAGGCACTGCACTCATCGAGGATGCTGGCTGGAATGTGCTTCGGCCAAGACGATCGGATGGCTCCAGCTTGGTTTTCAAGCTTTCCATCACAATTTCAGTTGCACCAAGCTAACTGATGCTTCCGTTGACCTTGAAGGGAAACAGTATGTATGAATCGAGTATAAACAGAAGCCATTGAAGTGACTATCATTGAGTCACGTTTCAGATATTTGCCAACTGGTCAACATGGGACGATTTATGTCATAGCTTAAAGTTGGCTTGCAATTTTTGAGGTGGTCTTGCCAGAAGCGATCACCACAAGCTGCTTTGTCGAATTTGTCGATCTTTGACCATCTTTGACCCGCAGCACCTGCAAAATGTTCCAAGATTCCAACTCATTCTGTGCTGAGTCCAATGCAGAGGCAAAAAATGGAGTTCAGCTTGTGCTGAGGTGACAGAAATTGGGACATTATATGTTCCATTTTGTGTTTGATTCTGGGAATTGGGCTACTTGGCAAAAAGTGGAGCCAGCAAGATGCAAGTGGCAGTTTCATGACCTCGATTCTCATTTTTGTTGCACACGTGGATGGAATACTTCCGAGGGTAGCCTGCTTCTGGTGTGCCTTGGCAGAAGGTTGTTCTTTTAATTGGCCACTCGGAGGTTGAGTGCTATCACCATTGCACAGCCCGTTGAGATCTGTTGAGACTCAAGAGTTCCGGTTCAGGCCACTTTGTCCGGTTCAGTCGGTTCAGTCGCTTCAGTCGCTTCAGGCTGCAAGAGCAAATCCATCAATTTTGTCATTGTGGCGGTCAAGGCGACCATCCGTGTCCTGTATGATGTCTGGGGCTGAGAAGAGGTGCATAACATGGCAGAGGTATAAAGAGGTATGAAGAGGTGGGTATGGATCAATACCTATACATACCATTTTTAGTGGGATGAACATCCATTTACCAGCTATTTTGATGTTCACCAGGGGTACAAGGTTTTGACACACTGCCATATCTTTCCTCTATTGATCACAGTTCATCTTTCAACCCAATGTTTCCAGTCTTGTCAGTCAGCCACGAACGATGAACGTCAAACGTGTGAAACACCTCCATGCTTTTGCCATCTTCCATACCTGTCCATCCCAGTCCTCTGAACCTCAAGAGATTTCAGCTTCCGATTGTCTCGAGACTGACAAAGCTGAGGTGCCGACTCTGATTCTCTTGCCTTCACTGAACACAGCTGCGCGTGCCATTGTGCTCATTCTGGCAATGCACCTTGGTTTGAAGATGTTTGAAGATAGATGCATTCTGTTCCATTGTACTACAGATCGATGGATGGACGGACGGACGGATGGACGGATGGATGGATGTACAGACGGACTGAAAAAAACACACTTCATACGCACATTGACACACATATATATATATACCGTTAAAATGAAAGTTAGAATGCCTCCGCGAATTCCAAATATTCCTCCCCCTCAGTTAGAATGCGGCCCGCGCACGGCAAAAAATCCTTCAGTTAGAATGCCTCCCCACCCGGGTTTTAAGTTTTTTTGTTTTTGGAGAACCCTTTGCACAAATCCCTCACTTAGAATGCCTCCGCACTATGAATATCATCAGATGTTAGAATGCAGTTAGAATGCTTCCCCCTTGAAATTGCTTTCTACCAGCATTTCAGCAATTAGAACGCTTCCCCCTTGAAATTGCTTTGCCAGCATTTCAGCAGTTAGAATGTTTCCCCCTTGAAATGGCTTTTTACCAGCATTTCATCAGTTAGAGCGCTTCCCCCTTGATGTTGCTTTTACACAAGCATTTCAGCAGTTACAGTAAAATGTGTCTCCCTTGAAATGGCTTTTCTACCAGCATTTCAGCAATTAGAATGCTTTTCTTGAAATTGTTTTTTACCAGTATTTCAGCAGTTAGAATGCTTCCCCCCCTTGAATAGCTTTTTACCAGCATTTCATCAGTTAGAATGCTTCCCCCTTGAAACGGCTTTTTACCAGCTTTTCAGCAGTTAGAATGCTTCCCCGTTGAAATTGCTTTTTCAGTTAGAATGCTTCCCCCTTGAAACGGCTTTTTACCAGCTTTTCAGCAGTTAGAATGCTTCCCCGTTGAAATTGCTTTTTACCAGCATTTCAGCAGTTGGAATGCTTTCCCATTGAAATTGCTTTTTACCAGCCTTTTAGCAGTTAGACTGTTTCCCCTTCATATTGTTTGTTTTTTACACAAGCATTTCAGCAGTTGGAATGCTTCCCAGCATTTCAGCAGTTAGAACGCTTCCCCCTTGAAATTGCATTGCCAGCATTTCATCAGTTAGAATGTTCCCCCCTTGAAAAGGTTTTTATCAGCATGTCATAAGTTAGAATGCTTCCACCCTTGAAATGGCTTTTTACCAGCATTTCATCAGTTAGAATGCTTCCCCCTTGAAATTGCTTTCTACCAGCATTTCAGCAATTAGAACGCTTCCCCCTTGAAATTGCTTTCTACCAGCATTTCAGCAATTAGAACGCTTCCCCCTTGAAATTGCTTTTTGCCAGTATTTCAGCAGTTAGCATGCTTCCCAGCATTTCAGCAGTTAGAATGTTTCCCGCTTGAAGTTGCTTTTACACAAGCATTTCAGCAGTTAGAATGTTTCCCCCTTGAAATTGTTTTCTACCAGCATTTCAGCAATTAGAACGCTTCCCCCTTGAAATTGCTTGCTACCAGCATTTCTGCAGTTAGAATGGTTCTCCCTTGAAATTGCTTTTCTACCAGCATTTCAGCAATTAGAATGCTTTTCTTGAAATTGTTTTTTACCAGTATTTCAGCAGTTAGAATGCTTCCCCCCTTGAAAAGGTTTTTATCAGCATGTCATAAGTTAGAATGCTTCCCCCTTGAAACGGCTTTTTACCAGCTTTTCAGCAGTTAGAATGCTTTCCCTTTGAAATTGCATTTTACAAGCATTTCAGCAGTTAGAATGCTTCCCCCTTGAAGTTGCTGTTTACACAAGCATTTCAGCAGTTGGAATGCTTTCCCCTTGAAATTGTTTTTTACCCGCATTTCAGCAGTTAGAATGCTTCCCCCTTGAACTTGTTTTTTACCAGCTTTTCAGCAGTTAGAATGCTTCCCCGTTGAAATTACTTTGTACCAGCATGTCATAAGTTAGAATGTTTCCCCCCTTGAAATGGCTTTTTTACCAGCATTTCATCAGTTAGAATGTTTCCCCCTTGAAATTGTTTTTTACCAGCTTTTCAGCAGTTAGAATATTTCTCCCTTGAAATTGTTTTTCTACCAGCATTTCAGCAATTAGAATGCTTCCCCCTTGAAATTGTTTTTTTACCAGCCTTTCAGCAGTTTGAATGCTTCCCCCTTCAAGTTGTTTTTTACACAAACACTTCAGCAGTTGGAATGCTTCCCCCTTGAAATTGTTTTCTACCAGCATTTCCGGAAATAGAACGGTTCCCTTTGAAATTGTTTTTACCAGCATTTCAGCAGTTAGAATGCTTTCCCCTTCAAGTTGTACAGATATGTGCAAAAACGCGTGTTTAAATATAATATATATATATATAATCCCGATGGGATACATGGAATACAAAATCGATAATTTCGGCCTCAAAAACATCTCCCGGAATCGGTAAAAAAACTATACATGAATAAAAAACATCTTCCGGAATCGGAAAAAAATAACATATACATAGAATATTTCCGGCTATCCATTTTGATCCAGGAAAATAAATCTTTTCAGGTTTTTGACAGAAGCATGGATTGCTGCAGCCGCCTGTGATTCAAACCAGTTCCGCAAAGGGACAACTGCGATTTCAGCATGGAAAGTGTGTTGCAACGCGTTTTGCTGGGGCAATCGAGGGGTGAACTATGAAAAAAAAACATGTTTTGCAATGAAAACAAATGGAATTGGGTGGTGTTCCTCAAAAAATTGATGACTATTTTCACTGAGGACCTAAATTCTATGTAAGTAATTCTTCAAGGAATTGGGTCTCTTCCATGTATAAGGGTAAATATCATATACGTAATTCCCTTGGGCGAGTAGCAACCCTGGATGTCTGAAGTTCCTAAACTAGAACGTTTCAAAAAAAAACAGGTCCCCCGAAATGATCAATTTCTTTTTATATTGCATTAAAAAAATGAGTTTTTCAGGCTCACCGAAGGGTACCCCCCATGACCGGTTTCGTAGAACTATGAAAAAAAAACTAGTTGCAATGAAAACCCATGGAATTGGGTGGTGTTCCCCAAAAAATTGATGAATATTTTCACTGGGGACCTATATTCTATGTATGTAGTTCTGCAAGGAATTGGGTCTCTTCCATTTCAGGGTATAAATATATCATATACGTAATTCCCTTTGGGGAGTAGCAACCCTGGATGTCTGAAGTTCCTAAACTACACTGACCTAAAAGTAGATGGCTCAACTCAAAAACCAAAATGCCCACAAGATGGCACCGCGCGGTGAGAAATAAAACGGCGCTATTTTAGCTGGAACATAAAACGAGTTCCGCCAATTCCCAAGACAGGAGGCAAAACCACCAGGAAAGACATCAGAGTTATCCTAAGACAGGAGGCAAAACCACCAGGAAAGACATCAGAGTTATCCCAAGACAGGAGGCAAAACCACCAGGAAAGACATCAGAGTTATCCCAAGACAGGAGGCAAAACCACCAGGAAAGACATCAGAGTTATCCCAAGACAGGAGGCAAAACCACCAGGAAAGACATCAGAGTTATCCCAAGACAGGAGGCAAAACCACCAGGAAAGACATCAGAGTTATCCCAAGACAGGAGGCAAAACCACCAGGAAAGACATCAGAGTTATCCCAAGACAGGAGGCAAAACCACCAGGAAAGACATCAGAGTTATCCCAAGACAGGAGGCAAAACCACCAGGAAAGACATCAGAGTTATCCCAAGACAGGAGGCAAAACCACCAGGAAAGACATCAGAGTTATCCCAAGACAGGAGGCAAAACCACCAGGAAAGACATCAGAGTTATCCCAAGACAGGAGGCAAAACCACCAGGAAAGACATCAGAGTTATCCCAAGACAGGAGGCAAAACCACCAGGAAAGACATCAGAGTTACCCCAAGACAGGAGGCAAAACCACCAGGAAAGACATCAGAGTTATCCCAAGACAGGAGGCAAAACCACCAGGAAAGACATCAGAGTTATCCCAAGACAGGAGGCAAAACCACCAGGAAAGACATCAGAATTACCCCAAGACAGGAGGCAAAACCACCAGGACTCAGGCGATAGGTCCCCACAAAGAGTGTTTGAGGACCTATCGTTGTAGTACCCCAGATTTTTTTCGTTTTTTTTTGCCAACATATGTTGAAAAATAACATTTCTATCAAAATATATCGTGTCTAACCCTAAACCCTACATCCGTTAGAAAAAAGATGAAAAAATAAGAAGCATATCTGCCAACAACGGGGGGTTCACGGTATGTAAATATTATACATCTAAAAATAGTCAGAATGCATATATTGAAATTGTAAAATTGCGCCATCTATGTGGAGATGCGCCATCTATGTGGCATATTTTGGTTAGGTTGGTTTATGGATGTCAGGATGTGAGGGAGTTGCGCCATCTATGTGGCATATTTTGGCTATAGGTTAGTTGCGGATGTCGGGAGATGTGAGGGAGTTGCGCCATCTATGTGGCATATGTTGGTTAGGTTGGCTTATGGATGTCGGGAGATATGAGGGAGTTACGCCATCTATGTGGGCATTCCCAGCCTGATTTTGGCGAATGGGTGGGAGTTGCGCCATGTATGTCCCAAAAGGCAGCTTGATGTTGAGAAAAAAACATATGGGGGAAAACAGCGCAGAAGATTGCAAAAAATGAGTCATTTTTAGGGATACATGGCGCAACTGACCTGTTTTGAAAGGCAGTTGAGCCATCTATCCCCCGCATTTTGCATTTGACATAGATGGCGCCACTCAAGATTCTGAGCGTCTACTTTGACATCAGAGTAGAACGTTTCAACAAAAAACAGGTCCCCCGAAATGATCAATTTCTTTTTATATTGCATTAAAATATGATTTTTTCAAGCTCACCGAAGGGTACCCCCCACGACCGGTGTCGTAGAACTATTAAAAAAAAACTAGTTGCAATGAAAACCAATGGAATTGGGTGGTGTTCCCAAAAAAATTGATGAATATTTTCACTGGGGACCTATATTCTATGTATGTAATTCTTCAAGCAATTGGGTCTCTTCCATGTATAAGGGTAAATATCATATACGTAATTCCCTTGGGCGAGTAGCAATCCTGGATGTCT